TGTTCTTTTATATATTATAAAGCTATATCCTATTATACAGGCACTTTTAGTATAAGCCTAGGCGCTTTCCGCTGTATATTTAGATCCGTATCTCCTAGTACTCTTCTCTTTTAGCTATAAGTTTCCTTTTTAATAGCAGATTTTATAGCTATATAATCAACGCACCTAGCAGTAAACCCTCCCTTTTTAAATACTTTAAAGTATATAAGAGTCTTAGGAAAGTCCTTATAGTATCTGGTATAGCACCTTATCGGCTAGGAATTAATATAGGGATAAACTATAATAGTAGATCCTTATAGAAAAGGTAATAAGCTAAAGGTTACTATATTAACTTTAAGCCTTAAAACCTAAAGCTGGCTAGTTAGGTATATATATATAACTTATATATTAAATATGCTTTAGTGTTTAGGAGTAAATGTGTCTTAAACATGTAAGCATGTAATGCCATTTTTTTCTTAGCTAATAAAAACCCTAGAAGTATTTAGCTGTTTAGCCAAGGATTCTTTTTGCCCTAGACAAGTAGAAAAGTGTTACGTGACGTGGATTTTTGACGCTTGCGCTGGCAATAAAGTCCTACGAGGGCCCAGATAATTTCATGCTAGGGCTGGGCAGTACATATATAGGGCCAACCCGTCCAATTTACCCCAACTGAGCCAACTTACATATAGGCCAGAGCAACACGACCGTCTCAGCGCGCCATTATTTGCCTCGTTTTACTCCCATCATACATCCATCAAACACACCAGCAACCATGCCCTATACTTCAATTACCATCATCGTTGCTCCCTACCATGTAGGCATTTACGATCATCGTGTTGGGGGCGGACCGCTTCGCATTCTAGCCCACGGCATAGACAGGGAGCTCGAGAAGCTCGCACCCGTGTCTTTCATCAATATTGGCCCTGTTGACGAATTCGAAGGCGAGATTGGCAGGACATTCGAGATTATCCGCCGAATCTCAAAAGCGGTTTCGCAAGCGGCCGAGAACGACTCGTTTCCGTTGGTACTCTCTGGAAACTGCTACGCAAGCGCGGCTGTTGTAGCCGGCTTGAACAAATTCGTACCGTCCCTAGCTGCTCTATGGCTTGATGCTCACGACGACCTTGATACACCTTCAACGCATGAAAATGGATACTTGGATGCCATGGCCGCATCCATGTTGACTGGCACAAGTTGGCATGCTTTGATGAAGACTGTCCCTGGTCATGCACCCATGGACGTGAAGAACATTGTCTACTGTGGTCTGCGAGACGTTTCCGACACGCAAAGGCGAACCATTCAATCGGCCGGAGTTGACGTGGTCTGGGGGGATGCCGGGAGAAGGGTAGATTTCGAATCGGAATTGTCTGCCGTTCTAAAGCGCAGAAACCTTGGCAAAACACATATTCATCTAGACTTGGATGTCTTGGACGAGTCTCTCGGCCGGGTGAATGAGTTTCCTTCTCCTGGAGGATTCATGCCGGAGGATTTAATGGGGCTGATGAAGATCATTCCGACCGAGACTCATCCCACATCTCTGGTTATTTGCTCCTTCAACCCTCGACTGGAAGGTGGTGATGGCGTGGCAAAACTTGCTGTTCAGGCTGCATGCCGCCTGGTTGGCAGTTTGAAGGAGAAGGGATTGTTTGCTTCGAATCTGGGATAACTCCCACTACGTGCCATGAATTGTGTTGGGTAGAATTTTAGGCATCAGGCAAGAATGGGACCAGAGGGGTAAAAAGTTTCAAATGGGGAACCTTGACTCAACATATAAAATTGGACGATTCTTTGTCAGTACCAACAAAGGTGTTTATTTCAAAGATACAACATTGCTACTTGTTTCTGTTGACTTGTCACGCCGTGCGCTATTCAGAGCACTTCAACAACAACCTTGCCCAATAACTCTCCCCGTTCCATTTCCTCAAAGATGTCACCCAGCTCTTCCAGTGGCCGTAGAGTCAAGTGTGGTTTCACGATGCCTCGCGCCGCCAATTTCATGACCTCGATGGCGTCTAGCCGATTACCGACCGAGGAGCCTACCATGCGTCTCTGGTGGAATAAAAATGCATTTGGGGATGCCGAGCAAATGGGAGTTTCATCGCCTTGCTGAACACCAACGACGACTAGGGTCCCGTTGAACCGAAGGCATTCGAAACCCCAGCTATAGGCCGAAGCCTCTCCCGTACAAACCACAGCCGCTGCGACGCCGAGGCCATCGGTCAGCTTTCTGACAGCCTGAACGACTTCATATTGCCTTTGTAGCCCCATGGAGTAGTCTTCAAGCGCAAGGAATTCTTCCACGCCACAATCATGGATCATGACCTTTTTCATGACTCTGTCAATACCTATTACGCGTAGACTAAATGCCCGAGACGCAATCTCACATACTAGATGGCCAACACCTCCCCCAGCACCAGCCACCAGTACCCAGCTCCCTGGTGATGCCTTTGCCTTTTTGATGGCTGCCAGCGCTGTCAACCCGCCGCAAAGCAGGGGCGCTGCAACTGCCGATGGCACGCTGTCGGGAATGGGAGTAACATAATATGCAGGTGCCAACGTGTACTGCTGAAATGTGCCGGGGGTGTAATATCCCGAGATTTTCATGTTGACGCAGCAGCCGTCGGCTCCTTCAAGACACGGAGGACAAGAGAGGCAAGCTTCAGAAACCCACTTGACACCGACACCTGGACACATCAACATTGATGCTGGCATATATCGCTAGTACTGAGGGAAAGAGAAGAGGCTTACGGTCTCCCAGTCGCAATCCACTGGCTTCCGTTCCCGAGCCCAGCTTGACAATACTCCCTACTCCCTCGTGACCGCCGACCTGCCCCGGCTCTATCCGCCGGGCCAACCATTTCCACTATGAATGTCAATATAAGCACACGAGCAAAATTTCGCCCAAGTTACAACGTACAGCGTGTGTCATGACGCCGTGGTCGGAATGACATATTCCTGAATGTGTGCTAAACACTGATGAGCCAGATATTGTTCCCAAGACACGGTCCCAGTCCCACCTACATGCGAATCAAGACCTGTCCGTGTCCTGGCATGGGCGTTTTCACGATTCGCCTCTGCAGCGAAACGCTGCCGGGTTCATCGTACACCATGGCGGAATGAGCCGAGGGGACTTTCATATCTGCTTCTGCTGCCATGGCGGCGAGAGTTGATCATGTGAGAATACACGGAGCAGAACGAAAACTGTATCAAGAGAATGGATGACGCAGTGTCACAATGTTCATGCCTTTTTGCATGTGCATTATTCATGGTTTTCTAACTGGGGTACGTGGTACGTGTGGGCTGAATCGAGCCGGGATTTCTCTTCGTGAGAGATCTGACTCAGGCAGAGTAGAGAGAGGATGGCTACATGACACAGTTCCTCATTAGGTTGGGGTATTCATCCCATGGCCACGGGCAATTTTGCGAATCCCTCCACATGCATGCAGCCTGTTAATCGGCCCGCCGGGGCCTTCAAGTTTTGAGTGGAGCCTGGCCTGGTTGCGGCGGCTCGTCGGGCAACGTAACAGTTCAATATTACTAGTCTAGATTAAGCTGCGCGCCCCGCTTAATAAACTTGACCCTTGCTCCTTTTTTAGTGCGTTTTTTTAGCTCACCCCCGCTCCTCGGCTTTCGTTTCGCATCGGGAAATACACCACGACTTTAAGAAATCAAGACCCTCTAAAGCTCCTTTTGCTTCAACATTCAAACACCTCCTCGGGGCCCACGCGTGCTATGCAGCTGCGTTATGGCTGATCGATTGTGCGTGTTATTGCGGCACTATTCTTGTAGAAGGATCCGTCCGAGTCAGGCTTGTAAACAGATGAACCGGATCAAATCTCGTCCTCGGAGCTGACATGGTTCGAGGAGTTTAAAAAGATAAATAATCGCGCTCTCCGATAGCCTAGGTCTTACTTTTCGTACCAAAGCATCCTGGACTTGACAAAGTCAATTCAATTTTTATTGTTAGTAAAAAGAAAAAAGACTAAAGCCAGCATGGAACCAAAAAGGGTGCTCGTGGTCTTATTCGAGGGGTTCAACACTATGGATATGAATGGCCCCTATGAGGTCTTTCGCATGGCTGACAACCGAAATGCATTCACAGTGACGATTACTGCAGAGATGGAAGTTACTAGATCGTTTGAGGGTGTTCAAGTCAAGGTGATTCCCGCCAGCAAATAGTTGATTCCGCGTCCCTGATTAGCTGATTATTCTTGCTAGAGAGACATTGCCTTGGACCACAATCTTCTTGGTTTGCTTGGCGACTTTGACGTCTTGGTTGTTCCTGGCGGCCCAACACATCTTGTCGAATTACACGCCGCGAAAATGGGTGATTTTATGAAACTTATTGCCGCGTTTAATGAACTTGCACCCGAAGACAATACGGTGCCCAAAACTTTGCTGTAAGCAGCTTCCATTCTTTATTCTGCCGAAATCGCTCACTGATTCAAGGTCCATTTGCACTGGTGCCCTCTTCTTGGGGTACATGGGCATCTTCAATGGCCGGAAGTGTACTACGCATCGCGGGGCCTACAGGAGTTTGCAAAAGGTCAACATGGACGCAGCTGCAGGACAAGATGTTGCAGGGCGGGTCATACAAGCGCGCTACGTCGACGCAGGCTCGAATGAGTACGGGACAAGGATTATTAGCAGCGGAGGCGTGTCTTGTGGCTTGGACGCCAGCCTATACGTGGTGGAGATTTACGATGGCATCGAAACAGCATATGGGGTTGCTGATATATTAGAATACAAGTGGCGAAATGCCGAGGGCTTCGTGGTAGCGCAGTAAATTCGCACATCTTATCGTGTCTCATCTGGTTTGCGTACAAAAGTTCCAGGCTGTATCCATCAAAATCACAGACGTATCGTGTAACGAGCGGCATTCCTGTCCTTGACGGACTATGTGCAAGCAGCGAGCTTCATGAATTTAGTCGTAGCTTTACACAAAATTGTGCTCATATGGAAGATGATATCCTATGTGGCGTCGAGGTCGGGTTTGCGGTCCTGCATCGAACCCCTTCAAAACCGACGACCATTGTAACGGTTCAAGCTGAGTATATTAACAACTAGCTAGACAACTACTACAAGTATCTAAAGGTAAGGAAGGAAAGAAAGAAAAGAAGAGCTTAAAGAGCTCTAGAGCTTTAGAGCTTTATATAGCTAATCTCGCTTACTGGCGAGAGCGCAGCCGAGCTACCTTCGGGCTTAGCCCGTTATAATACCCCCCTTTTTAGCTATAAGCTTCAGTTTATATCTAAGTTATACTTAATATTATTCTAGTAAACTGCTTTAGATTTTTTTGCTGTTGTTTTAAGTCTTTAATACGGCCTTTACGTTATTAATCCCTTTATAACCTGAATTAGCTATACTTCTAAATATATTAATAAGATAAATAATAACCAGCTTTATATTAGTTAAAGCTTATACTTTTATACCTAGTAACCTAGGGAACTATAACGTATATATTTAGCCTTTTCTTGCTATTATTACCTTTATATAGTTAATACTACTAGCGCTAATTTCCCTTTGGCTACCTTTATGTGTTCCTAATTTATTATATTATTTCCTTAATAACTTAGTTAAGGGTTAAATTACTGATCCCCTAGGGCAAGAAGAACCTATATAAACTTATTATACGTTATAGAGAGGTTAAGCTGCCTGCTTAACTAACATTTTATCTCCTTATTAAGCTTACTAGTAAGAGTTATAATCTTTATATTATCTGGCTAAGTATTTATGCCTACTTTATATAAAGTCTTCTTAAACTTTAGAAGGTATGCT